AAACCAAATTTAAATCTATTAATCTGGTGGTCAAAGAGAAAAGTTCTTTGAAAAGAAATAGTTTCAGGGGGGCGAGGACTAAAAGGGGACAATGAATGATGCACAGGAGAACAGATCTGAGATCCGCAAAGTGCAAAAATGATATTTTTCCAAATAGTTAAAAAAAAAAAATCTGTCAAATCTGTCCATCACCTGCTTGGGGTTATTTTATATTTCTCCAAAACCACTGACGTTCGAAGCAAATAAGGGTTACAATGGTTAAATCCAATATTTACAAGGAGAATATGTTTCCTGAGAATTTGACATTTCAATTAAGGTTGCAATAGTGCTGCCACTGTCTTTTCAAACATGATCAAATATATCATGTTGGAAAACCGTGTAATCTTGTTTGGAAATCTTCCTCGGGCTCTTGCATCCTGTATGAGCTCTGCCAGAGAACTTCAATACAAATCATGAACTTAGTTGAAGTAATTGGTACTAAAAAAGAAACTTATGGGCCAGGACTTTGAAATTTTTCACTATTAATAACCAAGAAAGCTGTATTTTCAAGTTGGTCAAGTGTTCGTCTATTCTGCCTCCAGCTGTGATCTCAACACATCCAGGGCGTCCATGAAGCCTGGAAACAAAGAAGAATATACATAATGTCATCACGGGTATCCTCAATCTGCAAAAATTGCAACATGTACAACAGAACAGAGTATAATAGAATAAAATAGAATCAAACAAAACAAAGTAAAAGAAAATAAATTAAGTAACACTAGGTATGTTTCCTGCCCTTATAAAAAACCCTCCATACAAGAGCTTGTGGGGTGCATGGAGCCAGCACAGGCGCTGGATGAAATGGGAACTCCATTGCAGGAAGTGGTGCTTTTCTGATGCTGCTAATTAAGGAATGTGGAACCCTTCCTTTTGAGTCAGCTGGGCGGTATGTAGAACTCTGCATGATTATTGCACGAAACTTTAGAAATAAACCACAGTATCTTGCCACTTAACGTTTAAGAGGCAGGAGGTGGTGTGTGTGTTTTTAAATGGCTCCTAATCTTCAAAATGGTTAGTCGCAGCTGGCCTTTTTATCAGCTGATCGTATTTACAGCACGGTCTCGGATGGCACGGGGCTATCCCAAAAGAGGATTTGGGCTATTTATGAGCTGGCATTTTAAGGTACACAGGCTTATCATAGCATTCTGAGGATTCAGTAGAATTACACAGCAATAAAAACATCTCTGTGGGACTGTTAACGCTTCTTACTTTTAACTTCTTTTTAGTAAAGTAAATGTTAATATGTTTCAAAGGTAATACAGACATATTATGGGAAATAATGAGAGAAAAATAGGAAGTGCAGAGAAAAGGTCACACATATCCCACTATTGAAAAACCATTAAAAAAATTGTATATACTCATTGGTTATGACTGTTAAAAAATTTTTTTTATAAAAATTTTGAAATCTATACAAAAGTAGAGAGAATAGTAAAATGAACCCCCCCATACCCAGTTAAACAATTTCAAGATGTTAACTACATTTGCTTCAATTCTCCCATTTTTTTCTTTGCTAAAGTATTATAAATTCCTATGTGCCATGTCATTCTCCTGTTCGCTTCAATGTATGGCTCTAAAAATATATATGTTTTCTCTAATAATTCATAATGCCATTATCACAGCTAATGAAATTCATACTGTTTTCTGGTATCACAATATTCATTCCATACTAAAATTTCCTTGATAAGAAAATCGATTTTAATGTTTTTATGTATAGTACCTACATCCTACCATTTTGCTTACTCATAAAAAAATTGATAGTTTATTCCAAATACAATTTTGCATCTGGGTTTTTCCATTTGCTATTATAACTGTTTGCCAATGGCATATTTTTCGAAACTTTCTGTTTTTAAAATAGCTGGGTGCAGTAGTGGGGGGATAAATAGGTGGGATGGTTAACCATTTCTTTATCTGTGTACCTCCACATATAGGGAGATAGCGTGTGTATTTTTCTTCCCCTTGCAGTAACTATTGTTGCCATGAAAATCTTTGTTCACAACACCTTTTCCTTGATTACGGCTGTTTCCTTAGGGTTGATTCCAGGAGTGTTATTGCTGCATCCAAATGTAGGAACATTTGTAAGGCCCTTGACTTTTCTCAGTGAGTTGTTTACAAAAGGACTGTACCAATTTACACTTCCACTTACAAAGGATGAGAGAGCCTCTATTAAAATGTTTAAAGGCAGTGCTTTTCAGAGCTCTTATAAATCATCGGCTATAAGAGGCTGACTTATGTTTGTCATATGGTCATAGTCATCTCAAAAATAAATAAATATACATTTTTCTATAGCTATAAAAGCATGACATGCGCAGGCTGCCAAACAACCACAAAGTAACTTTGATTAAAGGAGGAAACTGGTCTACTTGTTGAAAATGTGGTAATGAGAGAGTTTCCACCCAGCCAGAAAAAGCTTAGTCCCCGAGGGGGAGGGGAGCCTGCATTTCTTCATGTCTCTCTACCCATCCCGAAGAAGGGAGAAATGAACAGGTCAGCGTTCTCTTCCTTTCCTTTACGATTTTACTTTTTTTTTCTTAAAGCCGAGTATTTTATGTGCTTCCATATGCCTGAGTAGATGCTGCAGAAATACGGTGGAAAACTAGCAGAAAACTTCTGGTGGCAGGGGTTTCCTGTAAATGCAGCCCCATAGCACTGGGTTAACAGAGGATTGAGGCAGAGCCATTTTAGCTGCGACTCCAAATTCTACTTTGTTTCCTTGGGGACACGCTTGTTTTTATTTGTAGGCTTCGAATAAAACTGCTTCAGACACTGTTTATTTCTGTTCACAGCATTCTTATTTTCTTTAAGGATATATATCATACCGGTTACAAATCCTTGCAGAAAATTCAACTGTATTGATTTGGAGAAGTTTATGTGACAGATTTATTCATTTATTTATTTATTTTGGAGGCAAGGAGAAAGGAAAACTCCTTACTGTTGTGTTTATGTGGGGGGTGGGTGGGTAGAAGAAGGAACTTATTAGGAAAATATTTAGCATAATGGTCTTTAAGATCTAGCATCTGAATTTTTAATTCCTTTTTTTTTTTTTGGTGGTGGGGGGGTGGATACAGGAAGGATGGTTCTCTTATTCTGGTTTGCTTTTCACTGTTTTTGTCCCCCTCTGCCAGGACTAAGTCATTCCTCAAAGCAAGTGGGAACAAAACATAATCTCTTAAAATATTTTTAAGAGGACATGCCGGCTTGGTCCCTGTAACAATATGTCAACAAAATGTGCTAACCACATTTTTTTTTTTTTTAAGTTGTCAAAGGAGCCAAAGGGATTAGCCCAAATTGCAGGGCTGTTTTAAAACGGCCAGCCATCCAGAGAGGGCCATGGCTAATGCCATGTCACCCGACTTTCGCTGAGTGACCGCCACTGGTGAGGCTGGTGGGGATTAGGCCACTCGACCCTCAGGCACCCTCAGGCGCGCCCCTGCACCCCGGTCCTCGGGAGTCCCCCTTCGCAGGTGCGGGCGCCCAGCGGCTGGATTTGAATCTAGGTGATCTCTGAAGACTGCGTACTGTCCATTTCCAGTTCCTGGGGAAAACCTGCTGTGCGTTAAGAGTTGGGAGCTAGGCTGGGCGTGGTGGCTCACGCCTGTAATCCTAAGCACTCTGGGGAGGCCGAGGCAGCAGGATTGCTCAAGGTCAGGAGTTCGAAACCAGCCTGAGCAAGAGACACCCCTCCCCCCTCTACTAAAAATAGAAAGAAATTAATTGGCCAACTAAAAAAAAAACACATAGAAAAAATGAGCCGGGCATGGTGGCGCATGCCTGTAGTCCCAGCTACTCGGGAGGCTGAGGCTGGAGGATCGCTTGAGCCCAGGAGTTGGAGGCTGCTGTGAGCTAGGCACTCACTCTAGCCTGGGCAACAGAGCGAGACTCTGATTTAAAAAAGAAAAAAGAGTTTTGGGAGGTGCTGAGCAAAAAAGCCCGTGCGCTGAACGTGGTGCAGGAGCGTGGCTGGGGTCAGCTCCAGCCCTGAACGTCAGTGCAGACGTGCCTGCTAGGGGTGTGGCTCTGGCTTTAATCTCCTCCCCTGCAGCCCCTCGCCCCAGGGCCCGAGGTGTGGCTAGGGAGGGCGCCTACCTGGACTGCTCGGTGCCACCTTCCCGCCGCGCGCTCACCGCCCTGCGCCGCGTCCTCCCCCGCTGCCTTGACCTCCCGTTTGGAGAAGATGCCCAGGAACCCCCGGGGGGCAGGCTGTCTTCCCCCCGGCGTGAGGACCGCCCAGACCGAGGTACATTCTGGAGGGAATTCCACCTGCTTTGTCTACACGGGACGGTCTAGCCCACGACTGAGCAGCTTGGGTTCTGGAATAGGCAAATCCGTGTCCAAATCCGGTGTCTCTCCCTTACTTGCTCCGGACGCCCTCGCTTCTCTTCTCCCACCCATGAGAAAGGCACACCTGGCTGGGTGACAGCCTGTGCGTGGGGGTCCAACCCGGCTCTGAGAGCTGGCGGGCTTCCGCGACCGTGGGCAGGGGTCTTTATCATAAAAGCGTGCCTTAATTGAGTGTTTACTGTGTGCACGTTAGGACGAGTAAGGATTTATTTATTCCTTCTAAATATACTTTAAACATTTTTTAAAAAGATTTTTTTATATATATATTTTAAAAAATGGAGGGGGGGGGGTGGTCTCGCTTTTGCTCAGGCTGGTCTCGAACTCCTGAGCTCAAACGATCCGCCCGCCTCGGCCTTCCAGAGTGCTGGGAGTACAGGCGTGAGCCACCGCGCCCGGCCTGGATACACTACTGAGGACTGTTTCCTCCTTCAGGAACATGGGGGAAACAGAGGCAAAGAGGGGTCAAGTGGGGTGCCACGGGCGGCACATTTGGGTCGTCGAGTCTTGGCTTGAACCCCCCGTGCGCCCATCAACGGCTGCAGGTATGGCCGCTCCCGCACGCGGCTTTCCAATCTGGGAAACCGGATATCCGCTCTGCTTGGGTGTCCCCAAATGGTGTACCACGCGCTTGCACTAGAATAGGTGCTGAGCTGCTGATCGCCGTTATTCTTCCCTGGTCTCCTAAGGCTAAGGTCAACCGTTTAAGACAAAAATGGAGTCAGCGTGGCCTTTGGAATGACATCTGGGCTGGAATACCACTTTCTTCTAGTTGTAGAACTTCAAGTTAGAGAGGTTAGTAAGTGAGAAAGTTAACCTCTGATGGCCTCAGTTTCCTCACTGCAGATGGATTTAAGCATGGCCCACTTAACACCATGATAGAGGTCAGATGTGGAGTGGGTATCTCCACAGAGCAGAGCCTCCATAAATCATCCCCCCCCTTTCTTATCCTTCCTCTTGTTGTTGTTAAGTAACCTGAAAATATTATTTTAGGGATGTTCTTGGTGATATCAACTTATTTAATAAGATGCTTATTAGACAAGCCAGGTGGTCATTCTGCTCTTACTACTCAATGGCTCTCAGGTCTATTGATAATAAAATCCAAAATCCAATCCAATCCAATTTATTGATAGTAAAATCCAATCAAATCCAATAAATAAAATCCAGTTTATTATTTGATAATAAAATCCAAATCCTTTAGGATGGCCAGAAGGCTCTGTCAATCAATAGGCACTGCCCCCATCCTAATTTTCTGCCTTGTCTTCACCTCAGCTACAATGCCATGCTGGCCTCCTTGCTGTTCCTTGAACCACTGGGCACACTTTTTGCTTCAAAGGCCTCTGCTTGCCAGTCCCTGAGCCTGGAATGCTCTTCCTCCAGAACTCCTTGTGGCTCACACTCTCACCCACTTCAGATCTTTACTTAGATGTGTCCACTGTGAAGCCTTTCAGGGCCAGTCTTTTTTTTTTTTTTTTTTTTTTTTGAGACAGGGTCTGGCTTTGTCAGGAAGGCTGGAGAGCAGTGGTGAGGTGACAGGTCACTGCAGCCCCAAACGTCTGAGCTCAAGCAGTCCTCCCTCCTCAGCCTCCCAAAGTGCTGGGATTGCTGGCATGAGCCATGTTTCCCTATTTAACATCCTCCCTCATTCCTTCCACCCCCTGGCCCCTTTGTGTCCCTTGTTTTTCTCCATAGTGCTTATCCTCTAACACGCTATAATATTACATGTTAACCCCAGAGCGATAATCTGTGTGGTTATCCTGCTGCATTTCCAGTACCTTGAAAAGTACCTGGTAGATAGTAGGTGCTTAGTGTGTGTGTGTGTGTGTGTGTGTGTGTATATATATATATATATATATATGTTGAGTGAGAGAGTTAACGATTGAATGTATTAAAGAATCCAGGGAGCATATTTATTTAACTACATAGAACAGTTAAATATCAGAACACTCCCCTGTGTGCTTGCCACACTGTTCCACAACACGAGGAAACCGGCCCTGCCTTGGAGAAGCCTGTGGTCTATTCGGGTGGTGAAATAAATACACCTATCCAGGGCTAGGCGTAGCACGGTACATGTCATAAAAGAGGCACTGAACAAAAGAGAGAGTGACTGAGGCAGGTGGCACTTCGAGTCGGCCTTGGGGGATGGGTAGGATGGCTACAGATTGATTTTTACATATATATGGCACGTGTGTTTGGGGAGATTAGAAGCCAGGGTAGGGCAGGCAGAACAAGGAGGGAGTAGAGAATGGTTTATGAAATTTCATCAAAAAACAGTATATGGAAATACTAAAGATTTTATTCTCTGTCCCCAGAATAATTAGCACAGTTTTTTAGAAACAATTATTTATTTTTAGTTGACAAATAATAATTATATATATTTATGGGGTAAAATGTGATGTTTTAATTATGTACGAATTGTGAAAGGATTAAATGGTAAGCTAATTAACATATCTATCACCTCACATGCTTATTTTCTTGTGGTGAGAACATTTAAAATCTCTGTTAGCAATTCTCTTTTTTGAGACAGAGTCTCACTCTGTTGCCCGGGCTAGAGTGCCATGGCATCAGCCTCGCTCACAGCAACCTCCAACTCCTGGGCTCAAGCGATCCTGCTGTCTCAGCCTCCCTAGTAGCTGGGGCTACAGGCATGTGCCACCATGCCTGGCTAATTTTTTCTATATGGTTTTAGTTGGCCAATTAATTTCTTTCTGTTTTTTAGTAGAGACAGGGTCTCGCTCTTGCTCAGGCTGGTTTCAAACTCCTGACCTTGAGCGACCTGCCCGCCATGGCCTTCCGAGAGTGCTAGGATTACAGGCGTGAGCCACCACATCTGGCCTAGCAATTTTCAACTATACAATACATTATTATTGACTATAGTCATCAGGCTGTATGATAGATCGCCAGAACTTATTCCCCCTGAGACTTTGTGCCTTTTGACTGATGTCTCCCCATTGCCCTCCCATCGCACCCTGGGTGACCACCATCCTACTCTCTACTTAGACGAGTTCAACTTTTTTACCTTCCACATGAGTGAGATCATGCAGTATTTATCTTTCTATGCCCAGTTTGTTTCTCATAATTATATATTAATAGGCAACTAATTTTTAATTATATAGGTAAAGTACAGATATGTTTTACATATAAAAAGATCAAAATATTTAGCCACTACCAAACTGTCCTGGTTCCTTGCCTACCTAAGTGAATTAATGACTTGGTGTGGGCCTTCCCAACTTTTGTTTCTTAGGCATTTCTTATGCTCTGTATGTGTGTGGGCATATATATATCATACACATATATATAGTTCCTTTAGAAAATATATTATTGTGTGTGTTTTTAAACAAAAATGGCATACCTTTGTGCAGCTTGATTTATTTTTTTTCTCATTTTGGTGATCCATGAGTAGAGGTGGCACTATTGCATTCCTTTCAACTGCTGTCTGTTTTCTAAAATTTGCATATAGCATAGTTTATGTAGCCCTTTTCCTTTTGATGAACGTGTAGGTTGTTTCTGGTTTTTCACTAATACAAGCAGTGCTGCAGTGAACATCCTTGTATATGTTTTGTGCACATGAGTGATATTTTTCTAGGGTAGATACTGTAATTATATGCTTACCTATTTGTGTTTTGATTTGTTTAATGCCTATTTTTCCTGTTAAAATATAAGCTCCATGAGGGCAGGAATCTGATTTATTTTATGCCTCACTCTTTAATTGCTGCCTAGCCAAGTGCTTGGGAGAGTGGAGTGGTCAATAAATATTTACTGAATGAATCAGGCTGACAGGTTGGCTGGGGCCATGGTGTGGTTTTGCATCCTAAGAGAGGGAGCTATGACTTATTTTGGTAAAATTGGAGATTTTCACACAAGGTGGGATGGTTATTAGTGGGATTTAGGGGAAAGTATTCTGGACTAGGAAGAAGGCAGGTACAGGAGAAGTGGTTATGAGATTATTACAGAGATCAGAAGGAAACTGAGCAACAGGGATGGTGGGAATAGAATAGAAAGGGTGCATTTGAAAGAGATTGGAATGATAGGATCAGTAAGATTTACCAACTAATTAGCTATGAGGGCCAAAATGAAGATGGGGAAGGAAAGTTAATACCCAGTCTAGGCCGGGCGTGGTGGCTCACGCCTGTAATCCTAGCACTCTGGGAGGTCAAGGCCGGTGGATTGCTTGAGGTCAGGAGCTCGAAACCAGCCTGAGGGAGACCCCGTCTCTATTAAAAATAGAAAGAAATTAATTGACCAACTAAAAATATATATACAAAAAATTAGCTGGGCATGGTGGCACATGCCTGTAGTCCCAGCTACTCGGGAGGCTGAGGCAGAAGGATTGCTTGAGCCCAGGAGATTGAGGTTGCTGTGAGCTAGACTGATGCCACGGTACTCACTCTAGCCTGGGCAACAGAGTGAGACTCTGTCTCAAAAAAAAAAAAAAAAGAAAAAAACCCAGTCTAGGACATTTTAATTTACAAACATTTATTGTTTCCCAGCTCTGTGCAAAAAGCACTTTGCTAATTGCTGTTAGGACATAAATTTGCGTGACCTTTCTTCCCTACTGCTGCCCAGTGGAGAAGAGGGATGAGTCCACAGGTACACCTAGAATTTAAGGGAGTGGCAGGTGGGAGGAAACTAGCCCAGGGCAACCAAGTCAAATACTATCCTGCTCTTCCAGAGCGGGGGAGGGGAGGAAGGTGGGTGAGGATGTTTCAACCTTGCCCCAGAGCCGCACACGGCTGACTGGTGAACATCCAGGAAATAGGGTGTCGAGAAACATGCATCAGTGTAGATTTTTAGAATTGAGGAAATCTAGGTGGTGACAGAGCTGGGGTTTGACCTTCGCTTCAAATGGCCCAGTAGTGTCAGTGGAGTCTGGAAAGTAGGGAAACAAACTGTTAGCTGTGTGACCTCAGGCAGGTTACTTAAGTGCCCTGAGCCTCAGTTTTCTTTTTTTTAAAGAAAAGGCAATAATAACTAAGGGGTGAAGATTGGTAAGATGACATCTAGGCCAGTGCAGGCCACGCTTAGCAATGGCGGCTCCGATTCCTACCTTGGCACGGGGAGAGGAAAATGGCAGCTTGAAGTAAAAGGACTGCCTAACGTTTGTCATGTCCTCTTTGTTAAACCAGGATGGGATCTTTCGGGAGATAATATCTCTTGAGGAAGAAACACTTATTTGAAGTTCAATAGTTCTTTCAGTTTTACTTCCATTTCCTTTCAGTGGTTTCCCAGGGCTCTTAGAATAAAATCCAGCCTCTTAGCAGGGCCCACCAGATCCTGCCAGCCGTGTTATTGGGATTTTTTTTTTCTTATTCTAAGACACATCAGGGGTTTTAGGCAGGGCTTTGACATAATCAGACTTGACTTTTGAAAAGATCAATGTGGCTGCTCAGAGATGCGATTGCATGTCTGCCGCGGGGGCAGGCAGCTCCATAAACATGGGGACCTGGCACTTGATGGAGTCAGTAGTTGGAGACATGTTTTGGGGGTCGAGGGGAGAGTTCTGGGTGGGAAATGTATACATTTAGGAGCCTTCAACACATAGATAGTATTGCGAGCCATTGGACTGGATGAAATTGCCTGAATGAGAAAGAGGCTTTGGGCTCTGGGCACCGCAGCATTTGGAGGTCAAGGAAAGGAGAAAGAACCGGTCAAGGGGACTGAGCAGGAGAGGCAGCCATGGAGAAAAGTCTGGAGAGCCTGGTGACCCAGATCCAAGGGAGCTCTGTCGAGTGCTGCAGATGTGGCCAGTACAATGAGGATGGAGAAGTGACCATCTGACATCCTACCGCAACTCAAGAGTCAAACCCCAGTCCTTGTGGGGTCTTTACAGGGACCTGCCTTGATTCTGTGCTCCTCTGTCCTCACCTTGTCTTCGTTCTATGGACCCCAAACACACAGGACACCTTTTCCATTTCTTTATCCAAGCCCTTCTTCTCTGGATGGAACACTCTTGCTACCTCTGGAACACTCTTCCCCATCTTGGCATGATTTGCCACCTGACTTCCTGGGGGTCTTTGCTCCTCAGGGACTTCCCCCCTCCCCCCAGTCTAAAACAGGAGGCACTTTCCCCTCCCCAGGTATCCAGTCCCTGCAGGCTGCGAATATAACTCTAGGTGTGTTGTCTGTTTCCTTCTAGAAAGAAGCCCCAAAGGGACAGGACTTCATTTGTTTTGCTTCTGCTCTGTCTCCCATGCCTAGAACAGTGCCAGGTTCCCCAAAGCTCTGGGCTTACCAGCTTTGCCATGTGTCTCGTTTCATTTTTCAGAGTCCAGTAGAAATGTGACTGTTTATTATTATTTACATAAATAATATAAACAGCTATAATTGTCATCTTCACCACCCCTTTTTATAGATAAGGAAACTGAAACCTGAAAGAGATTAAATAATATTCTAGGATTATGCAGCTCTCAAGGGGTGGAACTGGAGTATTTGCGCCCAAGTGACCGGAGGGAAGGTGTTCCTAAACCAGGATGCCATGTTAGAGTCCCTCTCCCCTCCCCCCACCTGAGAACACTGGGGTTTAAACCACTCTCAGGAGGAGCAGAAGCTGATTTCCTGAAGAGAATGAGGAGGTAGGTCTAGGGAACCAAGGGGCTGAAGTCTTTTTTTTTTTTTTTTTAAAACAGAGTCTCGCTTTGTTGCCCAGGTTAGAGTGAGTGCCGTGGCGTCAGCCTAGCTCACAGCAACCTCAAACTCCTGAGCTCGAGTAATCCCTAGTAGCTGGGACTACAGGCATGGGCCACCATGCCCGGCTAATTTTTTCTATACATATTAGTTGGCCAATTAATTTCTTTCTATTTATAGTAGAGAGGGGATCTCACTCTGGCTGGTTTTGAACTCCTGACCTTGAGCAATCCGCCCGCCTCAACCTCCCAGAGTGCTAGGATTACAGGTGTGAGCCACCACGCCTGCCCAGGGCTGAACTCTTAAATGCTGAAGTTTAGGACACTAAATCAAGGACTTGCCAAGACTCCAGGCTGGAGTTAGGTAGGGGCCAGATCCACAGGGCTGGTAAGGTAGGCCACCAAGTTTGTTCTTTTTCCCCATAATGCAACAGGAAGCTATTAAACAGGGTGGTGCAGTAATCCAATATCCACTGTATAAGAACTCTCGGGTTATGGGCAGAGAAGGCATTAAGGCAAACCTAGAACGGAAGAAGCTTGGAGACACCTGTATGTACATCCAGTAGTGGTATCTTTGTCTGGGGGAGAGTGGTTGTGGTGCCTTGGAGTAGGCTTGTGTTAGAGATGGAGATAAATGGGCAAAGTTGAGATCTATTAAGGTAGAGATTATAGGGTTTGCTGATGGGTTAAAGGTATATGTGGGGTGGAGGGATGGAGATGAAATATCATAATTTGACTTTGAGGTTTTGGCTTGAGTAAGTGGATGGATAGAAGAGGGTTCCATTTATTGAGATGTTGGGACTTAGATTTCAATAAATACCAGTTATCTTCTTCCCTCACCTTCCCTCATCCCAAAGCTCCCCAATAGGAATATCCGATGAAAGCAGAAAGCTTTAAGAGGGTGCTTGTAATGTTATGTTACCCATGATCTTTAAGGAAGTTTACATTAACATTGGGAGTGACGTCAGTTTTGGAAAACCATCCAGAATGTCAGAGGAGATATAAATGATGCTTGCAAAGGTGTAGGGGGTGGGGCATGCATCAAACTTACCAATGAGACATATACAGTTAAGACTTAACGTTATCACGATTGATTCATACAACCAAGTTGGGATTATCGCTAAACCCTATTTAAATTGAGCCTTATTCTTGGCCCCTCCCTTTTTGGTTTGCTTGTGAAAACCAGCAATCCCATCTCTCCCAGCACTGTCCTGAGCCAGGTGGACTGGCAAACTCCTAGTCTCAGACACTGCCTTCACTTCGGAAAGGTAATTTCTGTTACATATTTCTAATTGTTTTATTGTGATAATTTGTAGAGGGACGACTTGCGTGGGACCAAGAAGCTTAGTAGGAAAAAAACCGAAAGGTGCAGTGTTCCCTGAGTTGTTTGTTATCCCTACTTAATTTGGTGCATTCAGTCTAGTTAAAAGGGGTGTCCCTGTTTTCTTCTCAAATGTCCTTTGTAGTTTGCAAATGCTGGCAGGTTTGCCTAACTTTCTCATTTTCTTTTCCTGCTAGCTCTTCGCTGCAGTTTTTCAGGTTTTCCTGCTCTGAACACTGAATTCTCTTACATCAAGTATCTATGTTGGCTCTATTTCAGCTCCTGGGATTTACACACAGTTTCCAAATCGTTTTTCTGTAATAGTTCCCCGGTAAAATAAATAACTCGAGAAAGAAGATAATCATACCACATTCTGCTCTTCCAATTAAGGCAAAGTCTTAAAAAAGATGATTCCAATACATGTTAAATAATAGCAAATCAGAAGGTTGTTTTTTTTTTTTTTCATTATGTTATGAGATCTGAGAATGCATGTGACTTGCAGAATCTGGGTGGAAAATCAGAAGTTAGCTAAAGGAAGAGGCCTGCTATCACTAGGATTAAATCAGAGATAATGGTGTGATTTTATTCCGTAAGCGCACACTGGGAAATATGTCTTAAGAGGGCCTGTCTGTTTGGATAATTAGTGAAAAGCGAGGTGTAGCTGATGTTTGCCGCATTAAAAAAAGGAGGTGAAGTGGGGCTTTTTCGACCTTTCAGCAACATGTGAGGCGCTTCGGGCGAGCACATTTTGAGGGACTTTTCTTCTGGTTCCATTCTTTGTTTCCGCTGCTGGCGTGTGGCAGCACCTGGCCGCTTTGGAGGGAGCCTCCCCGGGAGGGACGGCCGGGCAGGGGTGGGGCGAGGCGGTGGAGACCTGCGTTCGATTTTCAATTTTTCACTTCGCACAACAATAACACGGGTTCCTGGCTTTTATGACAGAATCAGCCTTTCCTGGCGCTCTCCTGTTACTTTTAGAGTCTCCATTTTTAATTGTTTGAACCCATGCATGCTTTCCAAACACATCTTAAGCATGAGCCTCCACATTCTAAGGAAAGAATGTGTCTCGCAGAAGCCCTCACGGCGAATTCAGATCGCTCCCTGTCCCTTTGAAAACGCAGTATGTATCTGCAACCCAGCGTTCAGTCGCTGGCGTTTTGCAACGATTTCCCAGTTTTGTTGGCACGCCTCCAGGAATAAGGTTCTTTGTAATTCTTTGCTCAAACATAAGGATCACATATAAAAACTCTTAGCAGATAGGTCAGCTAATACAATCATCTTTCAATTTTAAAAGCTACAACATAATAAGGTTATTTTTCTTGGGGAGGGGATGAGAAACAGTAACAAATCATATGATGCTATAATGCTAACAAAGTGATAGCTTTGTGAGGGCACAGGGAAAAACACGACCGGTTTTTTTTTTTTTTTTTTTTTTTGCTCAAAATAATTCAGTAGTAGCAACAAGGTCTGAGAGCCATGAGCCTCATTGTTCTTAGTGAAACGATTATTTGTCAAAATATTTGATTGTTTCCTTATTCCTACTGAAAAGTTTGGGCTTTTTCTCCTTGCTCAATTTTGACACTAGAATTTCTAACTACCCACACTATTGTGTTTAAAAGCATTCAAGGTTTCAGAGTTCAAAGGTTATCCATTAACATGTAGAATGAGGCTACCCTTATGTTAAGGCTCAACCTGGTTCCACTTGTTCATACTTTCTTTGTTGTGGTGGCAAGGCTGGTAGCCATTTGTTTGGATAAAGTTAATGAAGAGTGTGTTTTTGGACTGCATTTTAGACTGTGACCATAGGACCCTAGAAAATATTTTAAAGAAAAGTATTCATCTTTTGTGAGAAGAGGAACCCTGGTATTAACAGTGATCAATATCAGTGTACTTGAGTGAAAAAAATAGTGCTGGCACTTCTGGCACTGCTAATTAATTAAGTGTGAGTAAGTAATTGATTCACTTCCTTTTTAAAAAAGACTAACCAGACCATATGTGGGGTTAGTAGTCATATATAAAATGACAGCAAAACATTACACTTGGCAAATTCTTCCCCTTTGCTAAGCTGTCTTCTCAAATTCCTTTTCCTATTTATTAAGGATTGCCTCACTTGCAAGCTCCGGGTTGTTTTTGTCGTGCCTCCCCACCCCTTTCTTTTGATTTGGGAAATATATTTTAAGTGCCTTTCTTGATGTGCTTTTAAGTTTTTCAAGTTTGGATACACCGAAGGCCATTAAAAAATACTTGGCTATTTTGTTTGTAGTCACTTGCATAGATCCATTTCATGTTTGCATTCGTTTGCATTTTGGGGCAGAAATATTAGTGGATGTGATTGGTGTTTTCTATGGGTCCTCCTTGGAGCTTCCTTAAAATAGAGAAATATCACAGGCCTTTGGAATCAGAACCTTTTCTTTCTTCCTTGCAGCAGGGGGAAAAAAAAAACAGTTGGGAAATGCTTTATATGAGTTGGGCGTAGGGAGGAGGGGGAAAGGCTAGCTTCTTTTTTATTTTTTTGTCCCTACTTTAAGCCTGGTTTCATCCAAATGGATTTCTGTCAAAACCAAGTAGATTCTTGGAACCTCGGCTAAATTTAGAAATCTCAAGTTATATTAGCACAAGCCCAGCCCTATCAGGGAAAAGAAAAAAAATCACAATTAGAGGAGAGCTTTATTTAGATACTAATTTAAAAATATTTTAATCATCTTCTCGACTTTCCTCATACTTGAAGACAATCTGAAAAGGTGCTTTTTATACACAGCTACCTTCCGAGCAGTGTAAAGGTTTTTTGTTTGTAACTCCGGGTGACCCAGGAGTTCGGGCCACCGGCCCCTCCCCTCGCTTGGGCACACCTTGCAAGGGGGGGGAGGCGGCGGGGCCGAGGCCTGGGTCTGCGCCTGCGCACTACCCACGTGGCCCCCCTCCCCGAGTACCTGTCAGTGGAACCGCCGGGGCGCGAGCCCGCCACGTTAAGCCGGATGGCGGGAGGCGGGGAGCGGAGCTGGGGGCGGCGGTAAGGCGCGCGCGTGCGCGGGAACCCTCCCCCTCCCCCAGGCGAGAGCTGGGAGTGCGCGCGCCCGTCCGCTCGCTCGCGGCCCGGGGGCGGAGTCCGCGGCGGTGGGCGGGGCAGGGGCGCGCCCGCGCGGGTCACGTGGGCCCGGGGCGGGGCCGCGGGCGGGGCCGGCGGCCGGTGGAGGCCGGGGGCGGGGCCGAGGGAGGGCGCAACAGCTGCTCCCGGAGCACTTTCTGACCCAACAGTCCCCCTGCGCCGGACGCGCCGCGCCACGGCGGCTCTAGGGACCCGCCACGGCGGCGCTAGGGACCCCCCGCGCCTGCACTGTCCCCGCGCGGACGAGTAGGGGGCGCCCGCGCCTTTGCCCCCGTGCGCACCCCCGCCCCGCTCACCTTAGCCCCGCGCCCGAGGTGAGCCCGGCCCCCAAATCTCCCGGGCGGGGGTGGGACGGGGTGGGGGGGCTCCCTTTCGGGGGGGCGGTCTTCGAGGCGCGCGGCCCCGAGGCGCCCCGAGGGATGCTTCGCCCTCGCCCGGGGGCCCCGTCTGTTTCGGGGGGCCGGGTGCGGGCGCGGAGCCCGGGAGGTGTCCGCACAAAAGGCCGGGAGGATCCCCGCCGCCTCCCTCCCTCCGCCTCCCCGCCCCCTCCCCGCGCCCGCTCCCTCCTCATTCAAACCCGGCTCGCCGAGCGGTGTCAGTTCAGCCCCGGCCGCCGCCGAGCGAGGAAATGGCCGAGGAGCCGGCGCCGCAGGTAACGGGGGCGCCCCCGCCCGGCCCCCCGAGTGTCCCGGCCCTCGCCGCCTCGCCCCCGGGGACCCCCGCGTCCGCCGGCCCCGCGCCTCCGGGGCGCCCGTCCGCACCGGCCCGGAGCGGCCCCGCGGGCGCGGAGGTGCGGGGCGACCCCGGCGCGCTCGGCGGTGTTCTGGCGTCACACTCGCCGCTGGAAGTGCTCCGAATGGCCCGGGCGCGGGGGCCCCCGTTTTCGCGGCCGGCGGCCGAGGCCGGCCGGAGGGGGCCGGGGGCTGCGCGGGCGGGCGGGCAGCTGCCCCGAAAAGTTGGGTCGCCCCGCGGGGCAGGTCCCCCGGGTCGCCGACCCGGCCTCGGGGGGCGGGCAGCGCGGAGGGCGCCGGCGCGGGGTCCCCCGCGGTGGCCCGGGAGGGGCCGGGGCAAGTTGGGAACAGCCAAAACAATGCGTCCGAATAGGCATCCCCCGCAAACAATGGCCGGGACCGTCCACACGGGCAGGGCGGAGGGCGCGTCTACACGGGCCGCGGGAGGGGCCGGGCCTCGCCGCGGACCCCGGGGCGCGCCCCGGTGACCCTCCCGGGCTCCCAAAAATCCGTCCCTGGGAGCCCCGAGTCGCCTGCCCATCCCCGAGCCGGCGGCGCACTGGGCTGCGTTTCCTGGATGTGTTGTGATAAGGTGTTGTTTTTTTTTTTTCCCTTACTCTCTTTAAAGATTTAAAAAGAAAACCCTCTTTCAGTGCCCTGTAAACTCTTAAAAGACTGTCTGCACAACTCTCCATTCCGGTGGGACACTCAGGGCCAGCTGGGAGCAGAAGTAGGAACTCCAGAGGGCAGGAGGGATTGAAATGTTAGCCCCAAAGTGTGTTTCTTCTTCTTCTTCTTCTTCTTCTTTTTTTTGTTTTTAAAAGGGAAGTTTCTGCCGGGAGGCGCCGAGTGGCGAAACCGCTCGGTTTCGGATGTGGAGCCCTCTTGCTCTGGACGTGCCCCCGAGTGCGGGATGCGGAGGGAGGCGCTGCTGGGGGCCCGGGGGTGGATTCGGGGCTGCCTGGGCGGGCCCTGCTCTCGGGGAGCTGGGAGGACGGCCAGGGCCAGGGTTCGAACCCACATTTTGGGATTCAGGGTTGGGGCGCCGAGCAGGGGAGGACCATTCTTGGCGGGTGGGGCGGGGTGGGGGTGGGGGTAGAGCATTGGGTGTGTGTGTGGGGGACGGTTTTCCGCAAGATTCAGTTAAGGGAGCAAGAAAAAGCCACCAGTGGCCACTTCTGGGACCCCAGTATCCTGTCCACATTGGAAGCAGCAGCAATTTTTCCCCCCTGGCTTTTTTGTTTTTGTTTTTGTTTTGTGTGTGTTTTTCCCCCCCAAGAAAAGGATAGTCATTTCAAGACTTAAGGCTTTAGTGTGTTGTTCCACTTTCAAATTCCTTGAGCCTCAATTTATCTTCCTGAATCAGCCTATAGGGCTTGAAGCTTTGGAACATTCCTAAACATGTGTTAACTGGCGGTCGCAGTGGTCCCTTGGCCAGTTTAGGGTCGTGTATTATTGACCACCGTGAGTACTACAGGGTAGCTGGTTTTCTAGATCGTTTGGAACCATTAAGCTGTATGTT